CGAGCCAGTAAGAAATCCAGAGGCAGCTGTTGCTTCAAGGTAGAAGCCAAAATGCATTTTTTTCCTAGGGCTTTTTGGGGGTATTTTGTTGGATTCCACCCCCACCCCCCAGTTCTGCTTTTTAGTGTTTTCTGTTCTCATTCCTGACATTATGCTCTCTTAATTGCTTTTGACGCTGTTGGTTGGGCCTATATGGTTGTCCTGTGGGATTTGCAGCAAAGCTTCCCGTTGATTACAGGGAGTAGGGCTGGGGCCTTTCCAGTGATGGGAGGTGCACTTGGCACATTTAGAGGTTGCTGCCTTTGGTGCTGCTTTCAGCTTCTCCTTTGTTTGGACTCTCTCACTTGCAGATGAATACATGCAGATAAACACATGAATTCTAGTATGCAGTGGGTAGCTCGGTTCTGGTAGAGCTTTTGCAGGTTTTTTGTGTTTCTTGAAGTCTGTCTGTGTAAATACAGCTCTAACGTAAGACACAGAGAATTTCCTTGTGTGATTCCTGACTGGAGGAGAGTCATCCAAGTGGATTTCCTGTGGGTGGGACAAACGTGTAATCTCTTGGCTGCTGCTTTTCTTCACATTTCTGTGGTTGTGACTCACGGTGACTGGTCTGTTATATTTAACAGAAAGATACATCCGGGGACTACAGGAAAGCGCTCCTACTCCTTTGTGGTGGGGATGATGAGTAATGGTGAGAGGAACAGGAAGGATTTGTTGTACTCCAGCTTTGCAGCCCTTCAGTTAGCATGTTTAGCTACATTTTTGTATCTTAATGCTTTGTGGCTGTTTGAATTTATACTAGTATTGCACTTACTAAAAATGAGTGTATTGTTACCCAAGTGATAGCTGATGCCTCGTTCTCCTGACATCCCAACTTCAAGCTTGGAGTTTCAAGTGCCTTCTGTGACACGTGCGAGTCCTGTTCATGGAAGATGGGTAGTGAGCAAAGAACCAGGTTGTGTGCTCTAGTGTTCTGCTGAAATAGGGAAAAAAAAATCATGTATTTCACTAACAATTTGAAGATTATCTTTTTTGCTTTAATACCTTATATTTCCACTAAATGTTAAGCTAGCTCTGACATTGCAAATGAAGAAAAGATGTATTTGTATGTAATATTTGAATGAATTTGCTCAACATAATGCAAACAATCGTTGGAAATCCAAAGGACCAATAAATTTTTTTCCCCTCTCGACAGAACTGTATGTGTTTTTTAATGGGCAAAGAAAGCTGTTTCCCCTTCAATATGATTCCACTGCTTCAAACCTTTGGTTTATTTTTCCTACTGTTATGCAGGCTTCTAAGTATATAATGTTTTGCATGTGTAGGTCTTGATGTCTAGTCTAGTATGTGGGTCTTGCAGTGATGTTGCTGTTGAGTGTAGCTGGAATACCACATTACTGGTATTTCCTGGGAATTGCATTCTCATTTTGTGTTGCTTTGTGTTTATTCTCCTCCAAAGCTGGGGGAAGGAAGGAGAGCTGTTTGCACAGTGCCAAAGTAGAACAGATATGCTGAACTTGTAGGGCCAGTTGAAGATTTCTGGGGAAGAAGCAGGTGAAGAGATGGGAAGATGGTGATCTGTAGTTTGGGGATCTTGGGTGATAAGAGGATGGTTGCAGCACCACTCTCTTGTCAGGTTAGCAGGGAGCAAAGCACAGTGTGAGAGAAGCACTGGCTTACTATATAGACTGCCTTAAATTCAATGCTTTAGTTCATCACTTATGACTGGCTCTGAAAATTAAATTGACATGTGTGAAGGAGAATAAAGAGACTTCTGTTCGATGCATTATAAGGCCTAAGCAGCGTGGTTCTGAACTTAGCTTATCAGTCACATATGTCAGCTGTAGAAACTGTACATTTTAATAGTCCTGTTGAAATTGATTCTTCAGAGATTTAAGAGCTTTAAAACTTTCATATTGAATAAATGTAAAGTTTCATTTTTTTTATACTGTAATTCTGAATTATTATCATGATCTCTTGCTAATAAGTACTTGGTTTCTAGTGTGAAATATGAAAGGTCTTTTCATAAGTAAGTATGTTAACTATAGCCTAATCCACTCTGAAACTTTCTTTGTTTTCCATTCTTA